AGATCGTTTTATAAAACTCGAAGATCATTTTATAAAACTCGAAGATCGTTTTATAAAACTCGAAGATCGTTTTATAAAACTCGAGAAATCGTTTTATAAAACCTAAGGATCGTCTTATAAAACTCGAGAATCGTTTTATAAAACTCGAAGATCGTTTTATAAAACTCGGTGATCGTTTTATAAGACTCGAGAGATCGTTTTATAAAACTTAAGGATCGTTTTATAAAACTCGAGAATCGTTTTATAAAACTCGAAGATCGTTTTATAAAACTCGAAGATCGTTTTATAAAACTCGAAGATCATTTTATAAAACTCGAGAAATCGTTTTATAAAACCTAAGGATCGTCTTATAAAACTCGAGAATCATTTTATAAAACTCGAAGATCGTTTTATAAAACTCGGAGATCGTTTTATAAAACTCGAGGAATCGTTTTATAAAATTTAAGGATCATTTTGTAAAACTCGAAGATCGTTTTATAAAACTCAAAGATCGTTTTATGAAATCCGAATCGTTTTATAAAACTCGAGAATCATTTTACGAAACCGTAAAAAACCGAAATAGCCATAAAACGCGAACTAGGAGATGCTCGACTAGTTCGCCCATCGGCGAACTAAGCCGGCCCGGCTTAGTTCGCCGATGGGCGAACTAGAGACTTCCCGGATATTCCGCGTCTCGATCTTCCGCATTCCTGATTCGAAACTTACGTCTTTCGACAAGGTCACGTTCTAAACTACGGCCGAAACATCTCACGTTCCATCTCGATCCGACTTACCGTTCGAGTTTTACGATAAAAACCGTAAAACTTCGCTTTCTCGGAAAGAACTCAAGGAAATCGTATAAAACGGCAACGGTTAAACAAAACACCGAACATTGCCTAAACTATACGATTTATTCGAGATTTCTCGTTGAAATCATAAAAACGCGTTTTTAATAAAAGAACGCCGAGTAAGTCTAAAAAACGTGTTTTTAATAAAAAGTCGAGTAAATCGTAAAACCTTGCGATTAACTCGAGTAATTTATTAAAAACGACATCAGATCAGGAAATGATCCCGTAAAAAGTCGGAAAACGGATTTATCGCAAAACGGCCCGGAAGGACCAAAAACGCTATAAAAACCCATCTCGTGATCTTAACGGAATCTAACCCGCAGATTTGATAACGTTTTGACGGTTTACTCGCAGGAGGAAAATAAAAGTCAAGTTTAAAGATAAAGGAAGGTTTGAAGAAAAATAGAAGATTTCCGCAGAAGAAAAGGAAGGATCGAGAAAAATAGAAAATTCCCGATGTAGTCGAATCTTGGCGAAATGGAAAGACCGAATGACCAAAGCGAGGAGTATATAAATAGGAGGTCTAGGGCAGAAGCAAGACACATGAAATTCAGAGCTCTCACCACCAAAATTAGCATTTAGGAATATTTCCGTTTTTCTGTTAGCGAGCTGCGTCTCAATTAGAGTTTTTCGTTCTTAAGTTTTCGGCTACTCTCTTTGTACCAGTTCTACGCAGATTCGGAATAAGAACCTCTTTGCTCTAGATTTTCGTTTATCTTTTAATAATTCTAAGTTTTCTTGTTATCTTAATCTTCGTTGTGCGGTTCTGCAGATAGCCGGTTCCTCTGGAAACTTAGGGTTTTCCCGAAGTTTCCTTAATTACGATTATTTGACAGTAGGTGGATTTCGACACCCACAGTTTGGCGCTAGAAGGAGGGGGGGTCGGATCTATTTTACACCGTAGCCGTAACATGTCCAACGAAGAAACGATGACTGGTGACAACCAAACTCGCAACGAACGCGACAACGTTGAAACACCACTACCAAAAGACGCGCCTGCGGCCGACGCTACGAACACTAACGCCGAGACCGTCGAAAAGATGCTTTCCGAGTTTAACAAAAAATCGGAAGAGCAGGAAAAGCTCATTGGTTCACTCGCAAAACGGCTCGAAACCCTAACTGCGAGAACAAGAGCGATTCGCCCCCGCGGAACTACCAAGATCCGCGGAAGGAGACTCGATTTCGGCGTTCCTACAGATCGTCCCGGAATCGATCAGGGAAACGTACCGGAAAAAGATTCCGGAAAAGAAAACCCTGACACGACACTGAACGAATCGGAAAAATCTCCTATTCGCGAACAGGAGACTGAAGGCGACGGCATCGAAAGGGTCAACTTGGAAACGAGCGACCAGGCCGATTCGACAGACGAAGACGCCGAGATCCATCCTAGGAGAAGAAAAACTCGCAGTCCTCAACCGGAATCGTCTCCCGAACGTTCCTTTACTGGAGACAAAGGGGAACTCGACTTCGCGCGATACGCAAAAACCGCTGAGGAGCGATCTCTCTTTTGCATGCCCTACGAGCACGGCGAGCCATCGTGTCGGAAAGTTCTAAGCTTCGACGGGATTCAGCTTCATACTCTTCTCTCACACGAGCGGCCTCCTTTGCAGCCAAATCCTGGGCACGAGAGAAACTGGCATCGATCGCCCCTCTGATACGAACAGCCTCCGCCTCTGCTGCTGCAGCCCTGGATTCGGCCCTGCGAAGCTCCGCACTATTCGCATTCACCGCCTCGCTCATAAAGCGAATACCCTGCGAAACGAACAAACATCCTTCGTAAAAACGTATGTACATAATTATAATAAAAAATAGGCAAACCTTGTTGAAAAGCCTCGACGCTTTCGCAAACGGTGTGTCAGCTGGCCCTCGGGATGACGTCTCAGCCGGATCAAATTCGGAGGGCAAAAAATCAATAAGATCCTCGATATCAATATCTTCGTTAGATGCCCGACCGTGGTCGACCGGAACTTCTCTATCCTACGGAGATCTAGATCTTTCCCTCTCCTCCGCACCAT